AAGCAGGAACCCTGAAGGACTGTACCTCCTTGTTTTAGCAAGTTCAGCAGTCATTTTGCTGCGGGTCCTGCATGTCCAGTTCATATAGCTTACTGTCCAGCAGTCCAGGGAAGAGCAGCTTCTTGTCCAAATGGCTAGCCTTGCCACATAGAAAGCAAACTCCATTAGGAGCTTCTTCAATGCCCATCATCTTCTTTGAAGTAATTGATGCTTCCAGGAGTAAGCATGCCTCACTATTGGCTTATTAAATTTTTTTACTCTATTCTTTTTTCAAGGACCTCACTTTATTATCTTTAAATTATTTTTTTAATCTATGGCTGTTTCTAACCTTTTTTTTGTCTCACTCCTAAGCCTACTTTTTAAACACACTGTGTCCCTTTTAGAGGTTTCTTTTTGTCTGAATATGTCTTTATTGTATATCTGTAATCTTTTTTTTTTGGATCACTATTTTAAATTGTTAAGCAGGCATGGCTATGACCAAAGTGGTGGATTTGGCTGCTGGCTCCACCCCACTCAGCTATCCAAAATGGTGAGGGTATATTTACCACCAGGTCTGGGAGCCATGTTTACCACCCCACCTATGAGAAACAGTGGGTCCACGCTGCCATCAAGTAACTTGCAGCATGCTGCCCATAAAGCCCCAGGTTGGGTGTCACTTGTAACCAGAAGTTTCTCTCCTGTCCTCCTGTTCTTGGATAACCACTCAGAGGCTTACTATTAATTACAAACTGTCTGGCCTATTATCTCAGCTTATTATTAACTAGCTCTTACAACGAAATTAACCAAATTCTATTAGTGTATATTTTACCAGGAGGCTTGTGGCTTACCTCACATCTTGCTTCCCTGGTGGCTGCTGGTTGAAGCCTTGACTCCGTCCTTTCTCTCCCTGTATCTCCGCTTGGATGTCCCACCTGGTTCAATTCTGCCTGCTATTGGCCAAATCAGCTTTTTTTTATTAACCAATGGTAATAAAACATATTCACAGCATACAGAAAGACATCCCACATCATTAAGGTCTAAATATTATCTCTAATTTTTTATTTAATATGTATATATTTAAACTTTCTGTTGTGATATTGATGATCACATAAAATACTAATGCTGGAAAAAGAGTTTGAGTCTCTATCAGGTAACTAGGAGCAGGCTGCTCCTGCAGGCCAGGCAATGAGAGCAGGTGAACAGAGTTGTCCACACTGTTCTTCTGGGCAGTCATGGATGCTTCTTCTGAGTACCTAGCCAAGAGTAATGATACACTAGAATTTTCCCAACAGACAACAGTCTAAAAAGATCCCAGTGTTCCAAAAGAGATAGACTGTGTTCCCCTCACAAAAAAATGAGTATGCTACTTGGAAGTATAAAGAATTACCAGCTGGGAGAATAACATGAGTGACTCTCACAGATTGAGCAAAAGAAGTCAGACATAAAAGAAGGACACACCACACTGAATCAGGAGCTCTCAGGGGGAAAGGTCCATGGTGAAAACTGCAAGTTGTTCACATATATGTTACTGTGAAAACAGAAGCTGGGGTTCAAAGGAAAAGTAAGGTCTAAAACAGCAGTATCTGGGACACATGGAAGGATGAATAAGAGAGCTTAAGACTAGGTGTGGAATAAGCCAAACTAGCTAGATAAAAGGGAGGGACAGGCTCTGTGTCAGTGACAGTCAGACCAACTGCCTCTGTCCCCACAAAGGCCTTGAGGAACATGTGTAAGGTCCTATTGTCCCTTCACACATGCTTATTTATTTATTTATGGGGGCTCTGCAAGTGCACCAAATCTTCCTGTGCTGGGCCTGGGCCCTTCCCCATGTGTCCAGGGCCAGAGTGTATCCCTTCTCACACATGCTTATTTATATGCAGATAATTGTAACTAGGTGGACATTGCATCTAAGAAAGCCTCTAGATCTTAATTAGCAAGAAGTTAACTAAGAGCAATTGCATTTTGGTGACCCTAGGAACAAAAGGAACTTAGTATATAGTTAGCAGTAATTCAGACACCATCAAGATCAGAGGAGAGTAGCAGACACAGAGTGAAGCCACACTCAAACATGTGGCTCTGGCAGGCCTTACCCTTCTCTCCCATTCCCTCTGCCTTGCTAAAAACTGTTCAATAACATCCCTAAAGATACCCATCAACATCTATTCCCTTATTTACCACTTCCTCTTCCTGAGGCTGACTACCAAGTTATAGCTATCAAAGTATTAAAGTCCAGAAATTAAAAGCCTCCTTTGGTTCACCTAATCAACATGCCCAAACAAATTGTATCCTAGCCCATTCTCACACAGACCTCCCCTTTTTCTCTTCTTAAAAATCACACCTGCAAAGTCATTTGTTGGCTGTTTTTCTGCCTGAGTCAGAAAGCAGCCACTAACTTATCTTCCCTGCTTAATACAGCATCTCTCTATGAAAACAAGTGTCTGGTTGTGGTTTGTACGTGATCCAGGGTCCAGGAGGAAGCCCCTCTTTTGCAGGAGATCTCCTTCACAGGGGATAGCTAGATTCCCAGGTAGTTCGATTGAGAATGACCCCCATAGGCTCATACATTTGAAAACTTTGTCCGCTGTTGGTGGAACTGTTTGAGAATGATGAAGATGTGTGCCACTGAGGTGGATTTTGAGGTTTCAAAAGATTCATCCCATCTCCAGGGCACTCTCTGCCTCTTCCTTGTGGCTTGGGATGTTAGCTCTCGGCTGCAGCTCCTCCTACCTCTCACTAGCTGCTATCTCTACTCCATCATCATGAACTTTAACCCTCTATGGGGGTTTGAACGAGAATGGCCTCCCCATAGGCTCATATGTCTGAACACTGAGTCCCCAGTTAGTGGAATTCTTCGGGAAGGATGAAGTGTCACTGGAGGTGGGCTTTGAGTTTTCAAATGCCCACAGTAGGGCCAGGCACCCACCCACCCCTTATCTGTTTCTGCTTGCCTGAGAATCAGGATGTAAATTATTAGCCCCATGCCTGCTGCCATGCTGATCATGGGCTCACCCTCTAAATGGTAAGTAAGACTCCAATTAAATGCTTGTTTTAAATAAGAGTTTCCTTGGTCACCATGCCTCTTCACAGCAATAGGATGCCCTCTGAAACCACAAGCTCCCCCTCCCCCCCCAAAAAAAACCTCTTCTATAAGTTGCTTTGGTCACAGTGTCTTATCACAGCAGTAGAAAAGAACTCTCAAGTGTGAGACCCTGACTCTGTGAATAAGGTAAAGAATAACTGAGGAAGGCTCTTAATGTCATGAGATGAATGCATACATATGTACCCACATACATGCACACACCTCCCCCCGACACACACACACCACACACACACACAAAAAAAAATGAAACTCTGGTAGATGTCTCTCCTCTTTTTGGTATAATTCCAGTTGTTCACCTTGTCCACCTGTACTTGACTACATGGAGAGTTTGAGGGAAGCCTGAGTTACATGAGATCTTTTCTCAAAAACCAAACAAGGGTGTGACTGAGGCCAGCCCAGGCTACATAATGCATTCCAGGCCAGCTGGGGCTACATAGTGAGACACATTCGAAAGAAAGGGAAGGAAAGGGAAAACAAACACCCAAAACAACACGGCACTTCAATTTTATTTTTGGTGGTCCTCAGCATTGAACTTAGAGCCTTGAACATTCTGGGCAAGAGTTCTACCAAAGCTGTATTCCCAACCCCCTAAGTAGTGCTAGTGCTATACTATTTATTAGTAGTCGTATTAATTGCTTGGCCTTTTTGAGACAGGGTCTCATGTAATGCAGGCTGACCTTTAACCCCTGACCCTCCTGCCTCCACCTCCTAAGTGTTGAGATTGCAGGCACTTGCCCCAATGCCTGCCAAGTTTATAGGGTGCCTGTGACTGCCCCCTGACTGCCAGCAGCCTCTACTTATAGCTCCTTGCTGTGTGAGCCACAGGTCTGACTTGGAACCCCAGGAGCTTCATTTCTCCCCAGCATCTGCCTACCTCTCCTTGGGCCCCACCATGCACACATGTATCCTGGGAACAGAAGTTCCCTGATGAAACTGTGTCCATATTAAAGATCCTGCCAATGCCAGGCACTGAGCTACTGTACTCATGCCCATGGGGTCGCTTACTAGGAGACTGGTGGAAAGGTCACTGATTAAGAATGGCCCAGGCAAGACAGTGAGACCCTGACTCAAAACAAGAATATTGGGGCTGGTCTGTAACTCAGGGGCAGAGTGCCTGTCTAGCATTCACCAAGGCCTGGGGTCAATCCCCACCCCCATACTGTACAAACTGGATGTGGTGGTGCATGTCTACCATCCCAGGACTAGGGGAGTGGAGGCAGGAAAATAAGGAGTTCACGGTCATCCTCAGCTACATAGCCAGTTCAAGGCCAGCCTGTAATACATGAAATCCCCAGACAACCTGACCTTGGCTGTGTAGAACATAGTGACTGTGGATAGATTGAATATTTTAAGTGGAAAGCCGAGGAAGATCTCTGTCTATCTTAGGACCTTGGATTTACCTTTACTTTGTATATGACAACACTCCTGTTGAGTTGCTAAACCTATCAGGTTATGCATAGTTGAACTTTGATGTCCACAGCATTAAAGTTAAGAAACTAATGCCAGGCTGGATGTCTTGAACCTTTAATCTCAGCATTCAGGAGATCTCTTGAGTTTGAAGCCAGCTTGGTCTATATAGTGAGTTCCAGGCCAGTCAAGGCTACATAGTGACATCATCTCATCTCAAAGAAAAGTGCTTAAGATCATTGGAGACACCTGGAAGTGGTGTAGCACGCCTTTAATCCCAGCGTGGGGGAGGCAGAGGCAGGCAGATCTCTGTAAGGTGGAGGTTAGCCTGGTCTACAAAGTAAGTTCCAGGGCAGCCAGGGCTACACAGAGAAACTCTGTCTCCAAAGAACACTGGAGACATCATCTGAGTGCTATAGGAGAGGCCCGCAAAGTTGATGTCCCACCAGTGGATCCCATGAGTGGATTCATTTACCTGTTTTTGGTCACACACACACACACACACACACACACACACACACACACACACACACACCTTTTAGCCATTTCAGCAGACAGTTTTAGTGTCTCATTGCATGCCTTTATGCTTAATCATGTTTTTGCAATACTGCAACCAAAATACATGACAAAACCAACTTAAAGGAGGGAAGGTTTATTTGGTTCATGGTTTCAGAGAGGTTTAATCCATCGTAGCAAAGCCATGGCAGCAGGAGCACGTGGCAGTGGCACCAAATGGCAGCAGGAACACGTGGCAGGAGCACAGTTGTTAAAACCAGAGGGGTATTTACAACCATCAAAGAACTGCAGAACCCACAAGAAAGTGACTGCTGAACTTGCCCAGACAAGACAGGATGGTCCTTTAGAGTTCCTGCTTCACAGAGGAAACAGCCAGACATTCTGCAGGACACAGAAGAAAGCAACTGGTGAACTTTGCCAGTCAAGGCAGAACAGATCTTCAAATGTCCGGCTTCACTGGAAAGTCTGCCAGATACTTCAGGCCTGTATGCTGAAGATGGGTGCCCCAGTGTTACAGAAGAACTTTGGGTGACTGTCAGGCAACCAGATATCTGCCATTTCTAGAGTTCTGGAAGTTGCTTACAATGCACTTCCAGTTTACTTAGGTGATATTATATCTTTCTGGGGTCTTTGATGGAATTGAAGACGAGATATAGTTAGTTATGACAAAAGATAAATTAGATATAAAACTTTAGAGTCACAAAGATAGGATAGATGATAGATTTTTTTTTTAATTTTGCCAAACACAAATAGACTAAATATTGTAACTGTAATTCTTGCTTGGTAACTGTTTTGTCATATGTAATTTTACTGTGTTAAAGTTAAAACCTTCCTTTTTAATTAGAAAAAGGGAGATGAAGTTGGGCATTGATGGTGCACGCCTTTAATCCCAGCACTCGGGAGGCAGAGGCAGGTGGATCTCTGTGAGTTTGAGACCAGACTGGTCTACAAGAGCTAGTTCCAGGACAGCCTCCAAAGCCACAGAGAAACCCTGTCTTGAAAAAAAAAACAAAAAAAGAAAAAAACAAGAAAAGAAAAAAGGAAAAAGAAAAGGGGAGATGATGTGGAATGTCCTTCTGTATGCTGTGAATGTGTATTGCTTTTATTGGTTGATGAATAAAGTTGTTTCAGGCAATGGCCAGACAGGATAGAACCATGCAGGAAATCCAAACAAAGATACGGAGAGAAAGAAGGTGGAGTCAGGGAGACACCATGTAGTCACCAGGGAAGCAAGATATGAAGTAACAAGTCATGAGCTTTGTGGTAAAATATAGAATAATAGAAATGGGTTAATTTAATTGTGAAAGCTAGTCAGTAATAAACCTGAGTCATTGTCCAAACAATTATAATTAATATTAAGCCTCAGAATAATTACTTAAAAAGCAGCTGCAGAGCCCAGCAGGTGGGGAAAAAAACAGTCCAGTGAGACCAAACAGACAGAGAAAAGCTTCCAGCTACAAAAAACTGCCCCTAGTGATCTTCTTCCAACCATGCCCCAGGCTTCACAGTCTTCAAAATAGTGTCACAAGCTATTGTTCAAAGCATGAGCCTTGGTAGACATTTCAGATTCAAGCTTTGAGTCCGGGCTGCTTACTTCCTATTTGTGTGTATACACACCTATGCATTACTTCCTATTTGTGTGTATACACACCTATGCATATGTGTGCGTGTGGTATATGTCTCCCACTCTCACAACTGAATTTAGGTTTCAGTTCTCTGAAAAGGACAAAACAGATGTCTCTCCCACAAAGGGCCATTTATCCACAATGACCTTATATTCAGAGATGAGGCCTGAGCCAGCCTCACAGTGTCTCAAGAACAAATCCAGCAGCCCCTTCTGAGTCACGTCCAAAGTGGGCCAAGCTTTTGCAAGTATGTCCAGAAAATGCCGACTAAACCTCAGCCAATTAAAAATATACTAGCATAGCTGCAATCATATATGAGATGACCTAAGAGTTCCTAAAACTCCCCTTAGTTGTGCTTAAACGGAGCCTGCACATGCCTCTGGGGGTCTTTGCCATTTTGCACAGGTGAACAACCCCACATCCATGCTAGAATATTAATAACCACTCTTTGCTTTTACATACTATTTGAGTCTGGGGTCATCCTTCCTCAGACTCTTATAGTTCGTGTACAGGTGTGTGCCTTTGCATGTGGAGGCCAGAAGGTGTCGTCAGTCACTCTTTGACCTGGAACTGTTAACAGATGACTGTGAGCTACCATGTGGGTGCTGGGAACTGAACCCTCGAAAGAGCAGCAAGTGCTCTTAACAGCTGAGCCATCTCTCCAGCCCTGCCAGGATTCATCCTATTCAGGGCTGCCTGGTGCATCCTGCCCCCTCCCCTAAGCAGCTAACATGCTGTGTTTCTTGCAAGGCTTCTGAATGTACAAGGGAATGTAGGGAATGTCTTCCTGAAGAAATCACACTGCCTTACCATCAGTGTGGAGAAAACCTTTGTCAGGTAAGATGGTAAAAGTAGAAGCTGGGAAGATGGTTCATGAAATAATGTCCCTGCTGTATGAGGACTTCAGCTGGATCTGAATTGGATCCCACATATAGTGGTAATGCTAGTTCTGGTAAAGCAGAAACAGAACATCTGGAGCTCATTGACCAGGTTAATCTTGTGGAAATCCCATGCACTACAAATTCAGTGAGAGATTGTCAAAAAAAAAAAAAAGACACCCCAGACCCTGGGTCTCTACCAGCAACTAGACCCAACAGTATTCATGTGAGCATGCACACACACAAAGGCACGCATGCACACACCCATGACTAAACAGGACAGATGTACAAAGGCCCTGTGGCAAAAGGAAGCATCAGTTTGCATGAGGGAGCATAATTAGTTATTTAAACGCGTATCTGACTGACAAGGAAGAAAGCAAGAAAGCCTCAGCTGCGATGGGCTAGCAGTGAAGGACAACGAGGTCAATCCTCAGATCTCTGGTTAGTCCAACACAGGAAGAACCCACGCCTTGGGCAGCTATCAAAAGAGTCCCTGAAGGACAGGCTGAGAACAGGAGTATGGCCAGGGAAATGACTGGGAAACTCCAACTGAGAAGAAGGAAGATAGGCTAGCCAAGGACCAAGGGGTGGATGGCTGGGGAAGTAGCAGGAGCTGAGAGAGGGGAGGGACACAGCAAGAGCTGACAGCTTAAGACCGTGGTGGTGGCACATACCTTTAATTCTCGCACTTGGGAGTCAGAGGCAGCAGGATCTCTGTGAGTTCGAGCCCCGTCTGGTCTACAGTGCGGGTTCTAGGACAGGCTCCAAAGCTACAGAGAGACCCTGTCTCGAAAAACAAAAACAAACAAAAAGAGCCGAGCCAGGAGGGTCCCTGCCCTAGAGATGTCTAGGCTCCCAGAAGATGCAAGGCAGAAAGTTAGTTCAAATTTAAGACAGGGAGCGGGGACAGGTGGTCGTGGCTTGGGAGCCCTCAGAGGAGGTAATAAGTGGGTCTGTATCTGCCAGGATGGGGTGAGGAGACAAACACTACCAGACGACTCCGGGCTAAGCAGGCCGCACAGAGCAGACCCGGCTGTTGGGGTCCGAGGAGACTGGGAGGACCCGGTACAGAATCCAAGGGGGCGGGAGATAGGGAGGTAGGCTCTAGAAGGAAGCTTGGGAAGCGGTGGGAGAATGGGGTAAAAGATAGGCGGGCAGAGTAAAGGAGGCTGTGAGAGACCGAAAGAAGGACGGAAATGGGGGGGGAGGGATAGTAGGGAGGAAGAGAAGTGGGGGGTGGTCGTTGATCGGAGGATAGAGGGCCAGGGATGGTCGGAAAGGCAGTGTGGTGCGGGGGTCAATGGATGGGCAAGTGAGGGCGGCAGAGCGCGGCAGGAGGAACTGAGAATGGAAGGACCCGGCGGGGGAGGATCCGAGGGGTAATGAGGGTGGAAGTGGAAGGATGGAAGACGGAAAGAGACTAGGTCTAAGGGGTAGTGTGGGGGGGGGGGTGGGGGGGATAGGGGCGGGGTAGAGTCAGAGAGGCAGTGGGGGAGGTGGGGATGCGAATGGGAGGATGGGGGAGGAGGGATGAGCATGACAGCGTCCCAGGGACATTGTGGGTGTGGTTGGAGAATGGAGGGCGGGAGGATGGGCGGGGCAGGGTCCGAGGGACAGTTGTGGGTGGGGATGAGGGGGAGGATTGAAGGTGGTGGAGGCGGGACAGCGGAGGATGAGTCCCGGGCCTATTCTAACCCCACTTTTTCTCCTTCCGCACAGCGGGTTTCCGCTTCCCTCCAGGGCACTGGGTGAGGCAGTGAGGCCGAGGCTCGACGAGGTAGCGCCGCTATGTGGCCCCCGGACGCAGAGCCGGAGCCTGATCCAGAGTCCCCGGACCGCCCCCGAAGTGGCAGGACAGTGCCCGGGCTCAGCGCCCTGCTGCCCGCGCGCGCCTTCCTCTGCTCGCTCAAAGGTCGCCTCCTGCTGGCCGCGTCGGTGAGTGCGAGGGCTCCCCGGGAGCCCGAAGCCTAGTCCCTGTATCCCAAGCCCCAGTTCCTGCGCCTCCCACCCAGGAGACTCGCGCGAAGTTTGGCCACCGCCCCCAAACTTGAGACAGCTTCTCCGTAGCCGAGCGCGAGTCAAACTCAGGCCGGAGCCGTGGTCTTCCCGGCTTCTCCAGCCTGCGAGGCCCTCAAAAGGGACCCGAGGACACGGGTTTGAGGACTCAGTCCCCGCTGGCGCCGCGGCCTGGCTGCTGTGTGATCCCCGAGCGCCCCCTCCCTGCGCTGGCTTGGCTCCTTCAGGCTTTGGTCTCCTGTTCTGCAAACCCTCCCACTTCACTGGGTGAGACCCGGCCACCCGTGGGGTGCGGATCCTGAAGAGTGGGGTGCGGATCCTGAGGAGTGGGACGAGCCTCCGGGGAGTGGGTGAGGCTGGGACTGCATAGTGAAGGTGCAGGCAGACTGTTGTCCCAGGGTATCGAACCAGCGGGGTGACTTCATCCCCTCCTTCCTCCCTCCCCTACCACGCTCCTTCCTCCTTCCCGCTTGTCCCCACCCGACTAGGAAGGTCTCCTTTGTCCTCCTAACACTCCCGCATCGTCGCGTGTGGGGCGGGAACTGGCATGGGGCCTACGGACATGGTGAGAGGGGCGGGAGGAAGGACAGTGGAAGGAGGAAACAGCCCATGGCGACAGCCACTTGTTGCTTAGATCCCTAGCAACTTGATATCTGATCTGTTCCCATTTAAGGCCGGGGCTGGGGGGCGGGGGATAGAAAGTGCCTTTAACTCAATCGAGGAGCTCTGAGACTAGGTGGCAGGGTTTCCGACCTAGGACTTTCCCCTTGTACCCCAGGACACATGCTGGAGGCATCAACCCTTAGGTCACTAGTAGAACCCAATACTTTTTTCCAAGTACTTTGTAGCAAGCAGACCTAAAGCCCACTCTTAGATTGGTCATCTCAGATCTCTGAAAGCCACGGAGGTAAGGGGGCTTTGAATCACAGGCCATTGAGGAGGCTTCAGTCCTATCCTACCCATGGGGGGGGGGGTGCCAATCAGAACTCACAAGATGTCCTTGGCCTAGCTAGGTGCCAGAAATTCAGGCCTAGGAAAATAAAAAGTGTAAGGGGTGACTTCACCCTGGTCCCATGCAACTAGGAAGTCTGACATGGATAGGAAGTAGGGGAAGTGGACCCCAATAATTGGGGCATGAGAAAACAGAACTCAAGGTGTGTGTGGGGGGGGGGCGGTCACCATAATCAGACTGACTTGACGGGGAGAATGAGAACAGAAAGAGGAGAGACATAGAACAGCCTTTTAGCAAGGAAATACAGTGGGAGCTGATGACCTGGAAACCTCAAAAAGCCTTTCTCTAAGCCTTAGTTTCCTGTTTGCCCAAGGGAAGCACAGCTTCCCCCATGGTATGTTCAGGGAAAGGGGCATGGGGCCTACAGACATGGTGGGACCCTAGAGATCAGTTTATTTGCCTGAAGCAGCCATAGTACTTCCTATGGGACATCAAGAGGTGCCCTTTAGGCACCTTAAAGTACTGAGCAAGCACAGACTCAAACCCAGTCATAGTGGCAGATAAAGGCCTGTAATGCCCTAAGTACAGATGTGATAGCCTCCTATTAGCTGGGTAACGCCAAGTCTGCTCCTTTTAAAGATAGGATGTGAGTGACACATGAGTAGTGTTGAGGAGCAATGTCTACCAGTCTTAGAAAGAATTAGCAAGAATTGGGCTTGAAAAGCCTCTGACCTATCATCTTCATCTTGTTTCCCTGCCATGCACAAAGTCTGCAGAACTAACCAGTAACCTTAGCATCCACCACCCTACAGCTTTGTGGGCCAGGCTTCTATAGATATAGTCTAGTCAGCTTCACCTTTCATACAGACTATCCGAATGGTACAGCAAGTACCCAATGTCAATGCTGTCTCCAAGTGAGTTAGAATTTTGTTAAGATAGGGGGTTTCATGTATCCCAGGCTGCCTAAAACTTTCTATATAAAGCTGAGTTTGACTTTGAACCTCTGACCTTCCTGCTTCTACCTCCCAAGTGCTAGAATCACAGGCTTGTAGCACCAAGCCTGGTTTATGCAGTGCTTGGGATCAAATCCAGAGCTTTGTGTACTAGACAGAAACTTTGCCAGCTATGCGACATTGTATCTCTGTCCTCGTGCATTGTTTTTTTTTTTTTTTTTTAACGAAGATTTGCAGTGGCACAAGAGTGTCAAGAAATCTGTATTAACAGCCCTGCATCCACCACCTGAACTGTATAGTGGCTGACACTGCTCTGCCTGCTTTATCATCTGTGTCCAGCAACCTCCCTTTTGTTTTCAATCATTTAAACGCAATTGCAGACATCAGTGCATTTCAACTTCAACCACTTCAGTTAGGGTTTTCATGAAAAGCACACATCTTAGGTTTGGGGTGTGACTTTCTCAAAGCAGTAGCTTTTAGCTCTGGCTTGCCCTCTTGTGGACACAGCTGCGTTGGGTATGTTCTATGTATGGTAGAGCCATAAAAGGAGCAGCCCCACAAGGTAGCCTGGGGAGGGGGTGGGTGGCTATAGCTTCAAGATGAGGTAATAGAAGGGGTTCAGCAAGGGATGGGGATTCAGTGTCCTGTCCTGGACTTGGGGGTGGGGAGGGCAAGGGTGGGCAAGAGGGTTCGATTCTCCTTGCTCTTCCACAGGGTGTTTCTTTCATTACCTTCATCTGCTATGTGGTGTCCTCCGCATCTGCCTTCCTCACAGTCCCTCTGCTGGAGTTTCTGTTGGCTGTTTATTTCCTCTTTGCCGATGCCATGCAGCTGAATGACAAGTGGCAGGGCCTGTGCTGGCCCATGATGGTAAGAATTGGGGAATCCAAGAAGAAAGGGTTGGCTGTCATCTGAGGGTCTGCAATTCAGCCCTGCTATCTTCAACAATGGTGGGCAGTTTTAATTCTCACACCTCCACCCCTGCCCACCCAGCAGCACTGGGACAGTGGGACCTGATTACAAGTGGTAAGGCCTCCTGAGTTTGTGAAGCTGGGCACCCAAAGAAGGCTCCTGACCACCAGGTGGAGCTGTTGCTCTGGAGGAGGAATGTGCCTCAGCCACAGACTTTCAAGCCATTTCCAGCAGGGTGGGGTAACTGAGGACTTGTACTTCCCAGGTTCTGGTCATCTGGCACCTGGCTGAGGACCTTACAGTCCCGAGAGAGTGCCCTTTAGTGGATAAAATGTGTCATAGAGAATAGGCAGTGAAGACTAGGCTTGAACTCTGCTCTCTAGAATGTATCTCCAGCATCCATGTAACCACCTGGTGATAGTTGCCCTCATTGCAGACCCACCTTAAGGACTAAGCAGAGACTATGATCATAAATGGATCTCGCTGTGGCAACGCCAAGCCTCCTGGAAGCTAGACTTTTCCCACTTCCCATTTCTACCAAACTGCAGAGCCAGCTATAGCATAGTATACACCCTACTTGCTAGCTACAGGGCAGAGAAAAATCCAGCTGGACCAGGGATGGGGCAGTATAAACTGCTGGAGGCCTGCAGAACAAGAGACAAATAGATCAGGGCCAGGGCATGCAAGTGGAGCCAGGACAGGGACTCCATGGGTGCTAGGGCTGAGTGTGTTGGGTTCCCTTGCTGTGCCACATTGTGGGAGGTCAGAACAGTGTGGACATGTCCCTCTCTCCTCAGGACTTCCTGCGCTGCGTCACTGCTGCCCTCATCTACTTCGTCATCTCCATCACTGCTGTTGCCAAATACTCAGATGGGGCTTACAAAGCAGCTGGAGTGAGTGGCTGCCTTACCCCCTGGTGGACATACCCAGCAGTGCCCCTTCCCTGATGCTCCAGGTCATCCCTGCTTGGCACCCATTTCTACAGTGGGTCCTGGGCATGTCCTGGCCTTGTTTAGGCTCTGGGTCTCTATGTGGGTGTCTGCCATTCCAGTCTAATTAAAAATTTTCCTGAGTTGAGAGGCTGTGTCTACCAGGCTCACAACCCATCTCCCCTATTTGCCATAACTCAGAAAGGTTGTGCCTGTCCATCAGTTCTGGTTGGGCCATTTCCTCAGTGCTGCTTGCATATGCCCAGTCTTCCGTTCCATGAGTCCAGAGTCCTTGTGATGTTTCCATCTGTCCTGCCCATGTTCCCTGCCATATGCCATACATGTATCCCACAGGTTTTTGGCTTTTTTGCCACAATTGTGTTTGCAATTGACTTCTACCTGATCTTCAATGAAGTGGCCAAATTTCTCAAGCAAGGAGACTCTACCAATGAGACCACAGCCAATAGGACAGAAGGTGGGTGACCACTCTGCATGGTTTCTGAAGACCTCGTGGGTCTCTTTTAGAATAGCTGTAGAGCTCTGCCCTTCCTTGGGGACACTTGGTTAGTTTGAGGCTGAAGTGGGAAGTATTTTGCAGCCTAGCAGAAAGAAAAGTGAGTGTATTCCCTCACCTCTGGCCCTGCAAGGCACCCTAATGTCCCCAGGGCAGCTAGTCAGGACACCAATCCATCTGGGACCAACCCACTAGACTTCCCTACCTCTTTGTCTTTTCCTGCTTGGAAGCCCACAGTACCCAGGCAAACACAGGCAGTGTGACTTGTGTTTTGTTTGGGGTTTCTGTATTTGAAACAGGATCTCACTCTGTGTGACTCAAACTGGCCTAGAACAAACTCACTTCCTGGCCCAGGCTGGCCTCAAACTCAGTGAAACCCTTACCTGGCTTGTTTGGATCAAAGAAAGTGCATCTTTCTGGAGCCAGGTACTTCTGGAGCAGGCCAGCAGTGCTAGACAGTTGTTCTCAGGGCTGGTCTTGGCTGTAGGATCTTCCCCATTGAGGACTAAATGTCTGGAGTAGGACCTAGTTGGTTAGGCTTGGGGGCCACCAGCTTCCCATTGGGATTCCCATACACTGTCCTGCTGCTAAAAATGAATGTCATTCCAAACTCATTCCTGGTCTGTGGCAAACAGGTTAAATGCTCCCAGATGCTGTCTTCTAGCCATTGGGACCTGCAGCAAATGCTGGTCAGCCAGCTCAGGGATCAGAGCATAAATGTCCATGGAGACATGTATTTTAAATATTTTGTGTGACATTCTTGGCCCTTTTGTTAGATATGGCTATAGCAAATCGCCCTACTTATACACCCCTGGCTAATGGATAAGGGGGAAGAACCAGGGCTTGGGGAGGGAGGTAACCAGCATCAAAATACAGCCACCAGTGGTCAGGTACTGGTGAGGCATGAGGTTCCAGACGGTTCTACAGAATAATCTTTAGTAGCCAGATTCCAGGAACCATTAAAGTTACGCCACTAATTGACCTTAACATGATAAAATGTTTTATATTCATTTCATAACATAAAACTTATAGCTAAACTCATAAAATAGCTCTACCAAAAAAAAAAAAAAAGCTTGCCCATTTTCTAGTGTATTTTAGTTCAGGGACAAGAAATTAGTTGTCTTTGCCTTGTCCTGCTGAATAGGGGTGGGGGAAAATGGTGCAGATGTACAACTCCAACATCCTCAAGTGAGAAGGAACACATTGGGCATGCCTAAACCCCCTGGGAAGGAAGCATCGGGGCTTTGGGCTGAGTAGAAGTGCCTGCTCTACCCCCTTGTACCCCAAGGCCCAGCCTGCCACTAAGATGAGAGAGGCTGGGCCTAGGGCTCCTGCTGGCAGTCTGGGGGTAACTCCTCCTACCCCATGCTCCAGGGAATGGTTCCAGCATCTTCTATTTTCCTTTCAGAAGATAATTCCAACTCGGACTCAGACTCGGACTGAAGGCCTGTCTGTGCCTGGCAACTGGAGCCACTCAGGCCTCCCATCCATACCTTCCTGATGGGACTTCAGGAGCATGGCAGTGGATTCCCACAGAAGAGCCGACAGAGGAATCAGTCTCTCGAGGTGACACTCCTGAGCCTCACTCTCAAAATTGGCTGTGCTGGCTTAGTACTGCTCAGCTAGCACATTAGGGCACTCTGAATATCCTACCTTCTCCCATTTCCGTCCTAAAGACCTTTTAACCTCACTGCCCCACAGACGCAGACACATCAACTGGAACCAGTCACTACAGTTCATGTGGTAGCACAGGGTGGGGCAGGGCTCTTTCACTAACAGGGACAGACAGAAACCACAGCAGGCTGACCCGTCCAGCCTCAGTGGGCTCTGCATGCTCTGCATGGAGTGTTCCTATTCGTGCCTGCACTTTGTGGAGATAACTTTCAGGAATCTTTGTTCAAGAAGTTTCCCTTCTCACTGTGAAACAGGGGAAAACCTAACTAGCCAAGTCCTCCATTGTAGGTCTGAGACCTTTTCAGAAAAAGGCCCAGAGACCTGTTTACCGGGGCTAACAGACAGGGAGCCAACCAGTGCAGTGGCAGTGACAAAGTCACAAATGGCTGGGCAGGCCCAGTCAAGCCCTCTTCTCCTGGGGATGCTACAAGAGAAAGTGTTTCCTCTGGACACCTGGACAGGCCTACTGGTAACATGGGCCTTCATTTGACCGCTAGCTGATAGCGTGTATGTCGTTGATATTTTCTAACTTTTTTTCTAACTTTTTTGTAATTTTTTTATTCAAAAGCAATGTAACAAATGGCATTTTCTGTGACCCAAGAGGTCCCATGAATGAACCAGAGTTCTGGGCCCATGTCTTGGGCATTTGTAACCTTCTTCCTACCTTGCATGTGAATCCCTTCCCTAAAAGAATGCCACAATGTATTAAAACAAACTGATTACCTGCTCAAATGTGCCTTACTGAGAAACTCACCTGCTGCCTACAGCTGCCTACAGTGACTGCCTATGTCAACACAAGCAGGCACAATGGATCCTGGTGGCTGATGGCAGTGGCGAGGCAGGTCACCTCTGCTGGGCATCAGGGCAGCATCTGACCACTCATGATGCCTTTTACTCAATCCTACAATCATGGCAGTAAAGGGTGAGCAGACACCCTGGTTAGCATGGTGCAACAATCAAAATCTGGGGCTTTATAGCAAGGGACCTCAGAGCAGTTGCTTCGAGGACCCCAGCCAGTACTCAGGCCCAAGCACACGGAGAGCAGCAAAGCATTCCACTCAAACACATGGAGGGTCAGATGCAGAGGCCAAGAGGCTGTGCAATGCACTGAAGCCTGGCAAACTGGTACTTCCAGTCTGGTTACAGCCTGTTGACTATGACTCCATGTCACCCCCAAAGCAAACTTGTTGCAAAAGTGGGATCTAAAGCTTTTGGGGAGAAAGAAGAGACTAAAACATTTTTATATGTCCATTTATTAAACAAGAACTCCGTCATGACAATACAGTATTCATTAGTGATTAGTGTTGAGAAAATTATTTCCCTCTACATACAAAAATACAGATTTGAACACTATGAAAACAATCAAGACAAGTACCATGAAAAATTGGTCCTTCAAAGGAAATTGGGGAGGCTGAGGGCAGGGGGAGGCTTTGTCTGCTGTCAGGGACAAGTCAATGGGAGCAAATGTCATGGGACTCCCACATTACTTATTTCAAGCACAGGGGAGGCCCACCCATGATGGCCACGTCAGATGGGCCATGAGGCAAAGTTCAGTACTACAAACAACAAAAATCAGTTTATTCAACAGCCTTTACCTTGGAATGCCCACAGCCATGTCTATAAACTGCCAAAAAAGAAAAACTTGAACTGGGCACGGTGGCATACTCCTGTATCCCAACATTTAGGAGAAAGGGGCAGGATGATTGCTACAAGTTAAAGGCCAGCCAAGACTACCTAGCAAGACCCTGTCTCAAAGAAAACCAGACAACAAATAAAATGTGATAACTATTAACATTGTCCCCGCAAAGTGCCGCTAGTTAAATCAAGTGCCAGTGACCCATCCTGGCAGAAAACTGTCATTTCACCACCTGATAACTTTTTTTTCACAGAATTACATGTTTTGACTCTTCAAAAGGACAAAAACAAAGAGCTACAAGTTAATGGATCAGAGAATTTGTACCTTTACTCAGCAATGGCTCAGCAAGTTTTTCCTGACCCAGACAACTCCAAGGTGCAGGGACAGGAAAGCAGAGTGAGTGGCTAGGTCACCCTGTTCCCTGGCTTTATCCAGCCTACCACAGCAGGGAATCTACTGCATTTAGGCCACCCAGAATGCAGGCCATCCACCAGGGGCATCCATAACCCTACCTGGAATCCAAGTGGGGTGAGCCCCGGAGCAAGGCTGAGGCGCTGCTAGGAAGCAGTGGCACTTAGCCTCTCCTAGGAGACAGCCAGAGAACAGCCTAAGGCTGGCTAGGGTGAAAGGGCAAGGAGCCCAATGCAAGCACTTCCTGCCAGACTCAGCAAACAGGAAGGCACAGGTGAAACTTGAAAAAAACAAAACCACTTTCTTATTGTTGGTAAGCAGCAGCTCTCCTAGTCTAACAAATAGTTGAATGATATCAAATAGCATTACAGGGACATGACTTTGTTTTAAAGAAATGCCCTCTGACCCTCAGAAACAATCAGCCAAAGTGCGGTGTGGGGAGAACACAGTGCAAAGGATGGGAGGAGTTACTGTAGGGAGTTTGACTTTGAAATTTCAAATACATAGGAAATTTAAGAGGAAAATGGCCCAAATTTCAAGACTGGTATTGTGGAAAGCAATATTGAAAGGACATTATCATGCTACAAAAATAGTGTTTTCTGTTTTAACTAAATGTATACCCCCCCCAATTCCGTGATTGACAAAGAGTGCTTATGTGACATGGAAGGCACCAAAGGTGAAGTGATTATCATAAAATATACAAAGACAAAATTGTCTACTTAAAAAAAATACAGACTGTAATAAATAGCTTAGTGTTTCTGCCATGGGTTCCTAAACTCCTATAAACTTCAACATACACGGACAGCTTCACTCCCTAGCATTCTTCTAGATGGAACCATGTCAAACAAAATCAAGTTACTAAAAAGCAATGATTTTAGGCAAATGGATCAATTTCATCATGATTTGAATTATTTTTTAAAGGGGTTAGGAATGAAAATGTTGGGAACAGGTGGGTTGGGGCACAGCATCCCCCTTGCTCTTGCCCTTTCTAGCCCCATGACCTAGCTAATTTCAGCCCTGAATTGTAGTCCTGGTCACTGCCACAAAAAGGGGAACAGAGTTGTGAAACTTGCTAAGTCAGTTCTGAAAACACAGGGAAGCAAAGGCAGGCTAGTGGAAGGAAGCGGTGTCAGTCAGGCCTGGCCCTACCTTCGGTTGGAGGGGGCGAGGTCATTCTTGCTGAGGTATTAGCAGCATCTCTCTTCAGAAACAATTACAAAAGAAAAGCAGCCCACTCGGCCCTGCCCAACATCCCATTAACAAGGCTGTCTGAAATGGCTCCACATATACACATATACCATAATTACAACCAAACAAGTTCCACTAACTCGCCATGTTCCATGTGACATTAACCCTTAATCAAAGCCTCACCTGAATTAAAAGTTTCAGAATAAAAAGGTAAACTAATGACACAAATACACTGTCCAAGGACCTATAAATCTGAAGTCTACCCTAGGCAAGTGGCTAACGCTTTGAGCTCAATGGACTTGTGACCCCTCAGCCCACACATCCACTTTCTTCTTAGGTTTTTTTGTTTGTTTGTTTGTTTTTTGTTTTTAAATAGGAGAAACTAGAAAGGGGAAAAAAATTCCCAAAGCCTCAGAATTTACATCCAATGCTATATTGGCTATCGTGAAATTCAAGAGAACATTCCCTTTTAGAAGAAAATTCTAGATCTAACACTGATGGTATTTTCTTTCAGAGATAATGGCTACAGAAGCATAGCTAGGTTAAGTATTTCAAATTACTTTCTCAACCAGAGAGATCTGATTTCTTTTAAAGATGTCTGCTAAGATGAGAGAAACAATAGATTAAGGAGTTGGGCGTTAACAAAGCCAAAAGAAGGGCCTGTCAGATCTGCATCCTGCCTAGAATGCACCTGAGGCAGATGTCACCTGCTCAAACATAGACCAGATGCCAGTACTCAGGGATGGTGTCTCCAACATCCAGCTCTTGCCCTTAAGTCCACTTGGGGAGCATAAAATCTCCTTCTTCTGAAGAGGAGGAAGTTAAGGACATGCTTCCAGGGCAGCAGGGGTTATGAGCACCTCGAGTGCCATCTATGTTGTAACGTTGCTCCTACTGCAGCCTTCTCCTCACGCCAGGCCTGTCATGCAAACCTGTATTCACCAAACCCCCTGCCTAGCCGGGGCAGGTGCTGATAAGATCAGCAAGAGAAACCCTAGACTATGCAACTTTATGGTAACTAAAAGGTACCTGGAGACATAACACACTAGAAGCAGCTTTTCTCCCCCCTGCTTGAGAATTAGTCAACAATTCTCTACCCCTTCTGCTATCTGCTTAGTGTCACTATTGCTATGTAGATGACACCTTGAGAAAAGGCAGTCAGTCCACTAACCATGGACTACTGTGTATTCTAAACACAGACGGCAGAGTAGGAACCACCTCCGTGGTCACTAAATTAGACACAAGTCTCCAGGCTCCTAAGACTGACCCACAAGGAATCTGACATGGGCAGGAATGAATCCTCAGGCCACCTCATAGACAGGCAAGGAGTTTCCTCCAAATAGTACAGTTTGTGTACAGTACTTGGCTACTTGTATAGTACAGTACTTGGCTACACAGAGCTAGCCAAGACTCATTCAAGGCAAGCAAGAATTCACATACATGCAGGGACAAGAGAGTTAGACCTTCATTTCTTCTAAGACAGCCTGAACCACTAGAAAAACTTCTAAAAAAACCACTAAAAAAAAAGAAGATACTAGAAACTTGAAAAGAGAAGAAACGTTTTCAGGTGAGCCATGAAACTCTCTTCAGAAGCATCCAGCCTAGGGTAGAAGCCAGGGGTACCAGGTCTGCCCACGGTATGAGCCTTCCAACCAGGGGCCTGTAAAAGGACCCCAGGGCCAAGTGCTCACTGCACAAGGACCAGAGTGGTCCTTGCTGGTTTCCCTGTGCCCAGGTTCTGCCCACTCTGATACTTTAGCATATTGCTAAGAAAGATGTGGGTACTGGGTGTGGGCAGTTTACTGAATTCTTGCCTTTTTTGTAGACAAAAGCAATCTGCCCTGCATGGCTATCTACTTTAAATGAAAATTCTCTGATGAGAATTCATTCCATCATAGTGTTCATCCTTTCTGGAAGCCAATAAGTGTCTTTAGGTTTCTTGTCTCTCCATTCAAAAGGAAAAAGGGCTTACCCTCTGTGCCTTTGGCAGGGAGGGTAGAGGAGCGTAGTGGTGGATGACACCCAGTCAACAGACACAGCGCCAAAATACATGTTCTCTGAGGATGTCAGTGTTTACATCCATCAAAACTACCAAATGTGGGAGGACTTCAACCCCACGTCTCCATGACCATACCAGATGTTCCCAACAACTGTACTTCCCTTTGAGTTTTGCTCCAACTCAAAAGTCAGTTCATCCCATAGGCAAATGGAAAAATCTAAGGGTGACTTAAAATGCCCAAAACCTAAGAGACATTGGTCCATAGTAGACTTAATAAACACAAAAAATATGCTTTTTTTTTTTTGCAATTTGCAGAGGCTATTTAAAAACTTCAAATCTACATTATCTTCTGTTTGCACAGAATATAGGTGTCTTTGCATTCACTGAGGCAACCATATTCCCTTCATGGCTTCTCCTCACCACACTGGTTGTAGAAGAGTGGGGCTGTGCATCACGCTATTAGAAGGGGCATAAGCCACTTCTGGCTCTATGGGAGCAAGTTAAATAGTACACGGAAATACATATAAAAAGCCACGGGGAAGCTTCATAGCACAAAGGATATTAAATAGTTACTGGGATATAAATAATTACAAAGATAGCAATTCTGACACTAAGATGCAACTAACTCTCAAGTCTTTCAGGCCCTAAAACACCACCACTGTTATCGTATCTCAGTATTCCCGGTCTCAATGGGCCTCAGGATTAGTTCTTTCAGCTGACAACACTTTCAGAAGGCCTCCTTTCAGCACTTGATAAAATGGTTTTATTGAAATGACTTGGGAAATAAGCAGCCATCCAGTCTGAATGGTTCTTTCTTCTGGCTCACTTCAAAGGTGGCCTTTTCCTGAGACCTAGTAACATGATGAAGCTCAGGGTGGTCCTTCCAAGTGGGCCCCATCTGATACAGGCCAAGTCTTTGTCACCCTATTTTAAAGGGAATTCTCCAAGAGAGAGAAGCCCAATTTTGATTGTGTAGACATACTCAACACATGCAAAATAACCATGTAAAACTAAGAGATAAAAATCCAGATGTCATCTACTCCCCCATATCACAACATACAACAGGTTCAAAGTTGGTAAAACACAAGGTGTACTGACTGACTGACTCATGACAGCCAAGAACAGACATCTCTATCAGGAACTGGGCAAGGGCCAGACCCAGACTGTCCTCTGGAGAAGAGAAACAGGGAGGGGAGTTACGCCAGACTAGCTGTCCTTTGAACACATGACCTGGACTACTGCCAATATGGAACTGCAGCAGAACTAGATTACACTAGATGTTGGGTTTAGGGAGCCAGTCCGTAGTACTCCCCTGCCCCAATCAGATATAGCCTGATCCTGTTTCCTGTGGACTCCTGAGCCCTGCAGTGGTATCTGACAATAGCCCCTCTTAGCTATTCAACCATACAACACCGCTCTTCCCTGAATGATGCAGAGCCATGGCACACGGGGGCACCTCCCCAGACTTTCCTGCCCCAGCCTTGCCACCGTTTCTGGCTTATGAACTACAAAGGAAACTGCTCAGGATGTGAACAGTCTCAGTGGGAGATAGTGAGGGCTCCCTACTATTGCAATATCTTTCTACCAGCCGTGTCTTCTCCTTGGTCAGGGTACACACAAAATATTATTAGAGCTACAACAAGGTCTGTAAACATCAACAGTTCAGAGTAAGAACCTGACATGTTAAAACAATTTTCCAAAAAAATTATAATTAGTCTCTAACAACAATAACAACAAAATTACAGCATCATAGGGGCCTGCTCAATTCATTCACCACCAAGATAATCTTCAGTTTATCAAGAACCAATCCAAAAGCCAGATGTAACTAGGATTCCTAACAAGTTCCAGGACCGGTGCTCATAGTTAGGACACTCAGGCACCCAAAATGACAACAGTGCCTCATGGCATATCTGTGGAAAGATGTGTCCTGGAACAAATTCAAGTATTTTCAAATCCTAGATAAAATGACTCTGAATCCCTTTAGAGCTTGTCTTGGATATTCAGAGAATTACACATGTCTATATAAAAGAAGTGTGAGTTCGAGTGTGC